GGCGGATGCTGCCACCTGGTGGCCAGGCAGGGCCGTGCACGCCCGGGTCTGCGGCCACACAGTGGGGTATACGGACAGGGCAGGGCGCCCTCGTGCCCGTCCCTGAGCACCAGCTCCCTGCGGAGGGGCCCAGAACCAAGCCCCTGCTCCCCTTCCAAGCCCCCCCTGCCCCTGCCTCTGTTTCCCGCCTGGACACGGGGGATGCTCCAGGGCCTGGGCTCCCGGGGCTTGTTAGACACCATGTCCTGTCCCTGCTGGAAATCGGTGCCGGGGAGGGAGCGTGCGGCTGCTCATCTGCAAGATCCCGCCAGCTCCTCCTGGGGCGGGCTGTGGCCCCGGCCCCCTGCAGCTGGCGTCATGGTGACAGGACGGTGACAGGACATCCACCGGGACGGCAGAGCTTTGAGTCGAGCCCTTCCTCCCCACGCGGGGCTCCCCTCACCCCCCCGTATGCGCTTCCCGGTGAAGGAGCGGGTGGTGGGGGCTCTGCACCCACCTGGGGGGCAGATGGGAGTGAAGGGCCCGGCCGGCAAGAGGGACGCAGTGACAGCAGCGGCCAGCACTTCCATAGAACATTCCAGACACGGTGGTCTCAGGAGAGGCCACAGCAAGCTGGGGGCCCCCAGAGAGCAGGCTTTGCGGGGGGACGTTTGGATGCCTGCAGGAGGGATGTGGCCCAGCCGCCCGAGTCCCCCGTCTCCCGTCTGTTCCTCCTGGGTGGGGGGGCGGCAGGGCCGGCTGGGGGGGCTGCCACCCCGCGGGGTGTGCTCAGGGCCCCCGTGGCTGTGCGGTGGGTCCCGCAGGGGTCTGGCAGCCCGGACCAGCACTGGGCCCCCACGGGCCACGAGATGCTCTATGAGCCACGCTCTGGGCTTGGGCGGCGGCGGGGGACAGATGCCACGACGCCGGGAGGCCTTCTGTGAAAATAGTGGGAATATATTTGAAGGGAGGAGTTAGCCGTGACGCTTACAGTACGGCCGCGGGGCCTCGCGCGCAGTTCACCCGCACCGATGAGGCATTTCGAACTCGGCCCACGACATCTTCCGGAATGGTCATTTTGGCCCCATTTGGTCTCTTCGAAAATATCAAAATAAAAACTTTTAACATACACATTGCACCCAAGGTAAGACTAAAAAACAGAGCAAAATGGACCAAGAATCTTTGAGATACCTGCAGAGAGCAGGAGGCTGTCCCACACGCCTGTCGCCTTTGAAGACAGGACTCTGCGGAAGGGCGTGTGCGCTGTCCCGGGTCACGTCAGTGCATGGGGCGCCTCCTGCCCGCGGCAGCACCTCCGCGGCCCCGGCCCAGCGTCCCTGTCCGGCTGCTCAGACCCGGGCGTGGAGTCTGGCTGGGGAGGCCTGGGAGACTGGCGTGGCGCCTGTGCCCTGGGCAGCCGCCCCCTGGCTCCCGTCTCCCCACCCAACCCCAGGTACGAAAAAATGTCAAGGAAGCCCTATTCACATTACAAGGTGGAAATAGCACCAGAAACTTCAGGGTAGGATTGCTGACACCTGGGGCTGGGGGTTGCGTGTAGGAGGAAGGCTCTAGAAAGGGCAGCCGTAGAGGCAGAGGCTGGGAAGGGGGGCCGGTGGGAGCTGGAGGGTGACCAGCTCTCTCCACGTTCCTGGGAACTCCGTGCCCCGGGGTCAAGGTGCACTGGGGACGGGCGTGTCCCTCGGCAGCACGGACAGTGGCCGGCCTGGCCCTGTGGTCAGGGGAGGAGGCCTGATGTGCTCTGGGGCCAGGCAGCAGGAACGGCCCTGTCACTGAGAGCCCGCCTCCCCGTGTGGTTTCAAGGTCACTTTGGAATTGCACCAGCAGCAGCAGCAAGACTAAGAGGGAGCCTGCCGCCCGCCGGCTTCCCTGCTAGGTGATCTGGGGTGGGGGGCTGTGCAAATCTTCACTGGGTTCTGCAGCGTGTGGCGCCCTGCCACAGGGCCCACGGGGCTGGGGGCAGGGGGTGGGCTGCTCTCTCTTCAAGTACTTGGTACCAAGAAAACAGCTGCGTGGTCTCAAAGGGGCTGCAGCTGGCCCGGCCCTCACCCTCGGCCTTCCAGCTGCCCACCCCAGACCCTGCTCAAAGCACCGCAGTCTCAGCTCCAACATCAGTCTGAGCATTTGTGTGGTAAGTCGGGTGGCCACAAAGGGAACCGTGTCAGAGAACAGACGCTGGCCGGAGGGAGCAGCGTGGACAGCAGCTCACTGCCAGGCCCCCTGGCTCTGCCCCGGGCGCTTGCCGCTACAAATTACTCAGAAGTGTCTTTCTTTAAGGGAATCTTGAAGCCAGTTAGTCTCTGCCCGAAGAGCTGGCTGAGGAGGTCACTCTGGGCCTCGGCGGTCCGGTAGCCGCGGTCGGCGGGCTCAGCACCGTGGACAGCTCTGCCCCTCCTGGGGGGCCTGAGCAGGGGTCTCGCCTGGGGGAAGGCCCTGCCCTGAGCCTCCTTCCTGTGGGCGTGGCCGGGCTCTGAGGGCTGCGGCCTTGGCTTGCTGTTCTGGCTACTGGGTCTGGGCTTGGCGGGGGGCACACGGCTGGGAGTTGCCTGCTTTCGAGGGGCCCGGGGAGGTCTGTCGGGGGCTGGGGGGGCTCTCCCCAAGCTCCCTGCGTTTTCACTGCCCGTCAGCCCCGGGACCTGGCCCTTTCTCCTCTTCTCACCGCCCCCTCCCTTCTCCCTGGGACCCGGGCTCGGCCGGGGCCCCTGGTCACCAGCTCCCCTGGGCCCCTTGGTGCAGCCCTTGGCTTGGGCTTGCGGCGGGGTCTTGTCCGGTGCAGGGCTCTGGCCAGGGCAGCCGGGCCTGGCCGGGGTGGTGGCTGTCTCGCTCTGGAGCTGCCCGCTGGCCGGCTGGGGCTGGCTGCCACCCCCCGTCTTGGTGCCGGGGCGGGGGCCCCCACTGCCCTGGGAGCTGGGCCCTGGCCTGTCCTTGGGGGTGGTGGCCTTTGTCCCGTTCTCGGTGCCGCGGACCAGCTCTCCGGGTGCCAGGCTCCCCGAGGCCTTCCTTGGCTGCACTGGGAGCTTGGGCGCGGGGCTGGGTGTGGACGCCGCTGACCTGTCCTTCGATGAACTGCGGCAGGCACCAGGCCTGGTGGCATTGCCCTTGTGGGAGGGGACCCCCGTGTCCCCCTCAGGCACCATGCGGCAGGTGGACACTTGCTTCTCTTTCTGGAACAGGGAGGGGTCTTCCTGGGAATGTTCAGGGCCACACTTGGCACGGGGGCCTGGGGTCCTGCGTTTCCCTGAGGGCGTGAGAGGAGCCCCCTTTCCCTCCGTGGCCTGGCCTCTGGCGCCTGGCTGGGGCAGGGCCCCCCCCGACAGCAGAGCGGGCTGGACGAGAGGCCCAGGGCTGCCTGGGGAAGCCTCATCCTCGGGCCTCTCCAGGGCTCGGTCCGGCTTGAGGTCACCTCTGCTGTCGGCCGACGCCGTGGGGAAGGGAGACAGAGCTGGGGGTGGGTCCTCCTGGAGGTCAGGGGGGAGGTCACACCTGCCGGCCGTGGGGCCCGCTGGGTCTTCGGGCCTCTCCAGGGTCTTGGGCGGCCCCTCGGTGGTGCTGGGAGCTGCCTCTGGGCCGACCTGGAGCAGGGCTGGGCTGCTGCCCCGGGAAAGTGGCCCGTCCACGCTGGGGCCCGGGGGGCTGCTGGGCACAGCCACCCGGCGCCGTTTGCTGGGCAGCGTGCCCTCGAGGGCCGGGGCCTTCTGCCCGGGGGCTCCCGGCCTCCTGACCCCGCGGAACGTGAAGGGCTGCTGCCCCCGCCTCAGGTGCTTGTCCATGTGGCGGTCGAACTGCTCCTTCTTGGCGAAGGTGTAGTTGCAGGAGCTGCAGGCGAAGGACTTCTTGGTGATGTGCATGACGTCGGCGCAGAGCTCGCAGGCATACAGCGGGGTGTGCTGCAGCTCCTGCTGCTCCTTCGCCCCGTGCGCCGCGCCCAGGTGCGCCAGCAGCTGGCGGTGCTCGGGGTAGACCCTCGGGCACCGGGGGCACAGGTACACGCGCTGGGGGCTGTGCACCGCCAGGTGTCGCTGCAGCTTGAAGGGCTTGGGGAACCGCTTCCCGCAGTGGTGGCAGTCGCGGGACGGGTCCTTGCAGTCCGCGTGCACCGGGATGGCCTGGAGGAGGGGCTCGCTGCCCGACCAGGGGTCGGGGGACGGGCTGGGGGCCGTCTTGCTGGGGCCCGGGAGGGCGGCGGAGCTGCCGGCCGCAGCAGGGGTCGCCCAGGCTGCAGGGCTGCCGCCCTCGACCAACGCGGAGTCCGAGACGCCGTCTGGTGTCGAGGCGCCATCTCGGCCCGAGGCGGCGGCCCGCGCCCGGGGCTTCGCCCGCTCCCTTGGGCTCTCTTTCCCGGCCCCCCTCGCGGGCCCCGAAGGCTCTCTGGGGCTCCCGTGGGCCTTGCCCCCCGAGCGCCTGCCCCTATGGGGTTTGGATGCTGGTTCCGTGACGCTGCTCAGGAGGCGCGCGATGGGGCTGCCGCCCTCCAGGCACCCGGGCAGGTCCCCCAGGGACCTGCGCACCTGCCCCCTGCGGGCGAACTGCACGGCGTGCTCCCGCAGGTGCTGGTTGTACATCCAGACGTCGGCCACCTCCTTGAGGCACATGCCGCAGGCCCAGGGCCCCGCCTTGCCCTGCAGGTGCTTGTCCTGCAGGTGCTCCCGCAGCAGCTCGCGGGAGCCGAACCGGCGCTCCACGCACATGTAGCAGGTGGGGTGCGGGGAGGGGCTGTGCGCCAGCTTGTGGAGGTCCAGCTCGGCCAGCCTGCGGAAGCGCTGGAAGCACGCCCTGCACTTGTAGGCGGCCCTCTTGCCCTGGGCCGGCGGCTCTCTGCCTTGCGCGCCCCGTGGCCCGGCCGCTGCCTCCGTCCTTTCGTTCCGTGGCCCCTGTGGCTTCGCTGTGGCCTTGAAGTTGAGGCAGCTTGTGCCGGGGAGATCTACGGGGTCTTCAAAGGGTCCCAGGAAGCACAGGTCTTGCACCTCAACCTTGGGGCTGAGCGCCTCAAAATCCACGGGGGGAAGCGGCAGCAGGTCGGCGTTCCCGGGGAACCCGCTGTCGAACCGCTCTCTCTCCAGGTTGGGGGGCTCGGGGCTGGCGTCCCCAAGGGAAGAGGGTGTGTCATCAGCGGGGACCCACAGCTCCCGACCTCGCCAAGCCGCAGGGACCATGTGCAGCTCGGGAATGGTCTCGGGGCGATCGTCCTCGGGGTGGCAGGCGGCTGCCTTCTCGGTGCCGGCTTCCCCGCTGGGCTCCGGGGCCCACAGGCTGAGGCCGGGGGCCCAGCGGTCGGCGCCGGACACCTTGCTGCCGAGGAACCCGTCCGGGAGGAAGGGCTCCGGCAGGCCTGCGACCTCATCCTCCCACGGCTCCTCGTGGGAGAGGCAGAGGGAGCCGGAGTCGCTGAGGTCGGTGGGCAGCCGGGCGCACGGCAGTGGGGAGCTGCTCCCGGCCTCGCTGCTGGGCTCGGGCGGCGGCGGCGGGCGCCTTGGCTTCTCACAGCGCTTCCCGTACACGCGCGGGTTCCTCTTCTTTCGGGTAAAGCGGCCGCCCAGAGGGAAGAGCTGGGAAAAGGAGACCTCGTCGTCAAACAAGCTCAGAGGGTCCCCGAGGCCTGGGCTGGGCGCCTCGGCAGTGGGGCCCTCGGGCCCCTGGACTGCACCCCGGGCTCCCGGCTCGTCCAGGAGGCCCCCGTCAGAGCTGGGGGTCTCAGGAGGACCCGGGGGGCCCAGGGGGGGCGCATGCCCCTCCCAGACGCCCTCCTCTGGTCTGCTCTCGGCCCCTCCACTACCCTCTGCAGACTTGCTCCTGGCGGCCTGCGGTGGCTCAGCCACGGTGCTGGCCTGTCGCGGTCCCCAGGGCCCCCTCGCCCAGGCTCCGTCACGCCCCGCCGGCCATTCCCCAGCAGGCGCCTCCTCCGTCCTCCGTCGGCGCGTGGCCTGGTCTCTGGGTGTCCCCTCTGCACACAGGGCCCCCGCGCCCGTCTCCGCGGTACCCTCCGTCTCGCTGGGTGCCAGGTCTCCCTCCCGCGGGAGGCGGCAGCTCGGAGGGGCCGGGCGATCGGGGCTCGAGCGGGGTTTATCCGAAATCACATCGGCAGGGCCCCGGGCCCTCTCCCGGAACCTCCTCGCTCCCGGCTTCCCCCCTTTCTTCTTTGATTTCCCTGCTGAGTTGCTGGGGGCGCCCGGGGGCTGCACCTGGTCCTCTCTCTTCTCTGCCTGTTTGGGATGGAGCTCGCCTGGCCCCAGCGGGTCTGGTCTGCTGGGCTCGGAGGCCGGGGACCTCGCACGCGCCCCACGCTCCAGCAGGCCTGGGGGGTGCGGCCGCTGGCCGGGTGCGGGGGCTGGTGTTCTGGGAGCCCCGAGCCCCTGCCTGACCTCCTTCGAGCCCTGGGCGGGAGGTGGCCCGGCCGTGCGGCAGGGGCCTGTGAGACAGTGACGCTGTCTGTCCTTCCTGGGCGCTCTGTGGCTCTTCTTCCCGGGGGGCCGGCAGGTCGGGGTGGCCGGGCTCGGCTGGGCGGTGCCCTTGCGCGGCTGGTGCTTCCTGGCTTTGTGCCGGCTCAGGCCCGGCCTGGAGCGGAAGGAGGCTGCGCAGAGCTCGCAGGTCACAGGCGGCCCACTCGTGGCCTGGCCCTTCCAGAGGCCGTTCTCCGTGGACACGGGCTTCTTTTTAAAGCCGTGGGGCCTCTGTTCGACGTCTTGGGGACTGAGGGGATCCTCTTGGGGCGCCTGGAAGAGGACATTTCTGTGGCTTTGGGGGGAGTGGGGCCGGAAGTCTCTGGCAGTGCTGTTTGGAGACGTGGTTCTGCCCAGGCCAAGCCCTGCAGGAGGGCAGGCGACCGTGGGGCTTCCGGTGACGACCCAGGGCACCTCAGTCACACTGCAGTGCCCGGCCTCAGGTGCCCCTGGCTCCGGCTGTCCCTGGCTGCTGGTCCCCAACTCACCTTCCAGGCAGGTGTGGCCGTCTGGCCCTGTGGTCCCCAGCATGGTAGGGTCAGTGGGCACAGCCACGACACCCTGTGCTTCCCTGCAGCCGAGCTGGGCGGCACTGCTTGGGGAGGGCGGGGAGGGGCCCTTCGGCAACCCCGCGGGGCTGGTGGTGGGTGGGGCCCCGCCGCAGGGGGGCTCTGGCGCCTGAAGCCCTCTGGCAGCCCCTGTCTCATCTCTGGCGGGATGGCTGGTCACTTTGGGGGAAGTGGCCCCCACGGGGGGAGGTGGGGTGTCGCTGGCAGGAGAGTCCGCTGGTCTCTCTTTCCTGGGCTCCTCTGGAAGTCTCAGCATGCTGTCCCCCGAGATGCTGACGAAGCCAGGCTGCGAGGGAGGGTCTCCCAGGGGGCTGCTATCCCCCAGGAGAGGGTGGTGAGCTAGGGTCTCCTTGGGGTCACAGGGCCGTGTTGTCAAGGATGGGGCAGCCCCTGGGGGCCCCCCAGCTGCAGCATCCGTCAGGGGTTGGACACAGCCGGCCCCTCCCAGAGGCGCCCAGGCAGGAGGACAGGCCGGCAGGAGGCCGGGGCTGGGAGGCTCCTTGCTGGGTGGGGATGCTGGGAGCAGCCCCCTCTGCTCCCCCCGGGCCCTGGTGGCACCGGAAGTCCAGGTGGGGGGGTCCTGCTGGGGCAGGTGCTTGAGGCTGCAGACACTGGGGGTGGCTGGAGCGATGGGTGAGGGGGCACAGGCGGCCAGGCCCCCAAGGGGTGACGCTGGGCTGGGCCTCGCGAGTGGCAGCTGCTTGTCCAGGCCTGGGCCGGTGGCCTTCTCCGGAGTCTGGTCCTCAGCCCCGCTTTGGGTGTGGGCTGCTGTTGGGGCCGGTACTGGGGGCTCTCCCGCAGGGGAGGGGGGGCTTGGGGAGGGCTGTGCCTCGTTCTGAGGGCCCAAGGCCACCCTGCGTCCCTCGCATGCTGCCCCAGCACCCCCGACGGGCCCGGCCAGTGCTGTTTCAGGACCGGTGCCCGGGGCAGGGCTATCGGACCCTCCAGGAAGCCCCCAGTTATCTGGCTGAAGCCGGCTGGCTTGGCCTTGGCCCTCGGGCTCCTCAGACGGGCCGAGCAAGCCCAGGTGTCGGTCTGCCTTGGGCCCCGGCTGACGTCCGGCCGCTGCAGGGACAGCTGTCCCCTGCTCACCCCCGAAGGAGCTCTGGGCAGGGCTGCAGGCCACGTCCTTGCCCTTCACACGGTGCCCTTCTAGAGCCGAGGGGTCCCCTCGCTGAGGGCTCTGGGCGTCCACGGGTGGTGGTCCCTGTGAGCCCTGCGTGTTATCTTTGCTCCCGGCTGCTTCAGCCCCCAGGAGCTGGAGTTGGGGGCTCAAGGTTGGGTCTTGGGGCCTCTCGCCAGGGCCAGCTTGAGCCTCTCTGCCTGGGGGGGCCGTCAGAGAGGAGGCCCCCGCTGGTGCAAACTCAATACCCTTGGAGCCAGGCCCCCCTGCCATGGGGTGGAGGAGCCCCCCGGCCCCGCCTGTCCTGCCTACAGAGGGTCCCTGGGCGGCTTCGCTGTGACGGGCCCCAGGAGGCCCAGTGGCATCCAGAGGTAGCGCTCTGTCATCCTGAAACGCCAAGCCAGGCGCCGGGTGGGCAGCAGGGCCGCCGAGTGACCCCAGCGCGGGGTGCTCTCCGCAGGGCCCTGCTACCTCCTGCGACTCTGGGAAAAGCCCTCCTCCCTGAGCACAGGGACGCAGCAGCCGGGCATCTGCCCTCTCCCGTGTTCCGGCGATGTCCTTATTTTGAGGAAACGAAAGAGCACGGTTTGGGCTGCACTCTGCTAACCTCTCAGCGTCTAGCAGAGGCTCCAGCTGCCCGCCTGGGTCCGGCAAGCAGACATCCGAGGGAACCCTGCCCTCTCCTTCCGCCTCGGAGACTGTGGCTTTCTGCACCAGCTGAAAACTGCAGCTGGCCCGCGGGGGGCAGAGAGGAGCCCCAGACGCCAGGTCTTCCTGGGTGCCAGAGCTGGCGGCTGCTTCTCCCGGGTGGCGCGTGGCTGGGCGGGGCCCCTGCTCTGGGGAGATCCCGAGAGCCCCTTCCGTGGTGGCCACGGCTGTTTCTGCAGCTTCCTGGCGTGGACTCGATGCTCCAGCGCCCGCGAGGTCCGCCGCGTTCCTGTGGGGGGCGGACGGCTCTGTGCGGGCGCTCCGGTCTGCCCCGCTTGCACGCTCAGCCTCTCCACGCTCTCCCGGGGCCCCGGGCGAGCCTCCGCTTCTCCGCAGTTGACTTTCCAACTCGGTGACCAGTCTCTGGATCTCCAGTTCTTCCTCCGACAGGCTGCGCACGAAAGCGGAGCTGCGTTCACTTCCCTTGCCAGGCGCGGGGGGAGGGCTGGGCACCAGTGCCCCCTCGCCGGGACGCTTCTCCCCGAATGCCCTCCCCGCTGAGAGGTCAGGAAAATGGCTGGGCAGCATCGGGGCTACTTCTTCAAGCAGCAAAAACGAGGGGTAGGGTGGGTCAACCGGGGGCTTCGCCAGGGCAGGGCCAGCGTGGGCCAGCGGCGCGTGGGTGTCCCTGTGTGCAGACAGGCTGTCGTAGAGGGGCGGGCCAAACCCGTCCACGGCCAGTCCCGGAAAGAGGGACGTGGACTCCAAGGTCAGTGGTGACCTGGCTTTGGCTGGGTCCGTTTCATCTGCGTAAGGCCGATGCTCGGGGGGCTTCGGCTCGAGGAAACAGGCATCCTCACCGTCCCTGCAAAGACAGGGGCCGCGGGCTGGCGGCGTGTCTGCAGCCGGGGGCTTGGAGTACAGGACTTCCGGGAAGCAGCCGGCCAGGTCTTTGGGTCCAAGGAACAGTTCACTGGGGGTGCCGCTGTAGGGATGGGGCCCTTTTTTGGCAATTGGAACCCCCGTGGGGTGTCCTTTAGCATGTGCAGGGCCGGCAAGATCAGAGTTCTTTGAAAACAGGATCGTTGGTTCGGGGTAGGCAGTATCTGTGACGTTAGCAACGGGCCCCAGAAACCCTCCTGGCTGGTGGGCAGCGGAGTCCTCTCTGTCACGGGACGCAGGGGGCCTCATGCACCCAGGGGCACCCAGCAGACTGCCTGGACCCGGTGCTGGCGAGCTCCCGCTGTGCTTGGGGCTACCGGCATCCTCTCTGCCAGGCGGGGCCCGCTCTGGAGCTGGGGGGCTGGGGCTTCCTTTCACGTAGGTGGCTGGAGGAGGACTCGAGACCTCTCTGGGTTTCACGGGGTCAGGGGGTGACTTTTCAGCAACTTCAGGCCTCTTGGCCTCTTGGGGGACGTCCAGCAAAGGCTGGTTTTCCTCTGGGGTCTCGGTGTCGGTGGGGACCTGCGGGGCGTGCTGGGGGGCCGCTGTGGGGTGGTTGGCACACGTGGGGCCTCTCTCTGCAGCCTCCGGGCTGGGTGGGGGGCCCGGGTGAGGGCTGCACGGCTGCTCCGGGCTGGGGAGCCCCCCAAGCTCCCCGGTGCGCTGCCTCAGCGCCTGGCTGGGTCCCTGCAGCTGCCGGTCTGCTCTGGGCCCCCAGGCCAAGTCCGCGTCCTTTCTCTTCTCGCCTCGGTGCCAGCGTCGGCCGCGGGGGGGCCGGCCTCTGGAGCCAGAGCCCCGCTGCCGGGGAAGCTCGTCCTCCGACTCGGAGGCGTCCTCGCACTCCCGGAGCCCACCATCCTCAGCGCCCGGCGGGGGCCCCTCCGCCACCAGGGAGCCGCGCCTGCCCCGCACGCGCCGCGCCTGCCGTCGGTGGAGCTTGTTCTTCTGCTGCACGATCTTGTGGATCAGCTCCTTGCTCCAGGTGCCAGCGCCCGCCTTCTTCCTCTTGGGGTCCTTCCTGGGGGGCTGTCGCAGGTGCCTGGGGCTGCCGGTCTCCTCGGGGACGGGGGCGGCCCTCGGGCCCTGGGTGTCAGGATCCGCACGGCCCTTGGGGGCCTGAGTCCGGAGGTCCCGGGCACGGGGCCGGGGCCGCTCCGCGCGGCTGCCCTTCCTCCTGGGCCGCAGGCAGGCGGCTCTGGCGCCTCCGCTGGGCCCCTTGGTGGTGTTGGCCACGTCCAGCTCTTTCCGGAACAACTTCAACTGCTTCCCTCTCCTCTGCTGCCTCCCCAGGCTGCTGCCGTCGGCCTCAGCAGGCGCCAGACCCAGGGAGCGGGTTTTAGGCCCACTCCGGGTGGGGCAGCCCCCATCCACGGGGCGGGGGCCTTGCGGCTCCGTCGTGGCAGCTACGAGCGGGGGCTGGGCTTTGCTCTCTGGAGCCGGCCCCACCCTGGCCTTGGGGGGCTGCCCAGTGCCAGGACCCCTGGGGCCGGAGGGTTCCTCGTCGGTGAAGACGTCGATGAAGCTGCTATCGATCTCGGGGCTGTCCGACTGGTACTCCATGCCGTTGAGCGCCTCGGTGATGAGGCTGTCCAGCTTGGCGTCGTCCTCCATGTCCAGGTCCGTGGCGGGGAGCGGGAAGGCGGCGGTGGCCAGGCCGGGCAGGACACTCATCCTCAAGGCGTCGTCTTTGCCGTCCGCCTGGACGTCCCCGGCTAACGGGAAGGGGACGGCCTTGCCGTGGTTGAGCCCGCCTGCGTGCGCGTCGGCGGCAGCTGCTCTGGGGGCAGCGCTGGGCGAGGGGAGCCCCGGGGGGCCCTGGGGCTGCTGGTGGCCGTCCTTGGCCCTGGCCAGGAGCAGGCTGCAGAACTGCCGGTGCGCCAGGAAGGCGGCCAGGCTGCTGTAGTTGCGGTCGCACTGCCTGCACGTGAGCAGCACGTCCAGCTGGTCCAGGCTGGCGCTGCTGAGGGAGAAGTGCTGGGTGGGGTACGGGGGCGGCTCGTGGGGGAACGGGGCCTCCTCCAGGCACTGGACGGCGCCCTCGGCCCCCAGCCCGTCCGCAGGGAAAGCGAAGGCCTTGGCCGGCTCTGCCTGGAAGTGGGTGGGGTGGGCGTGTGGGGGCTCCGGGGACTGGTGGAAGAAGCTCGGAGGCCCGAGGGGGCCCTGCAGCTGGCTCTCCTCCGAGCTGGGGTTGGCCGGGCTGCTGGACAGCGGCGACAGGGAGGAGCAGGTGCTGCCGGCGGTGTTGGTGGCCGGCGAAGGCAGCGGGGACTCGCTGGGGGAGGCTCCCACCACCCTGGGCGGGGGCAGGCTGGGGGTCCCTCGGGGTGAAAGCTGGGGCTGCGCCACCCCGAAGAACAGGGGCTGTGCTCCCGGGTCCTGCGGCCCGCTGTAGGGGAACAGCCCCGGGGAGCCGCCCAGCTGGCCTGGGCCGCTTCTCATGGCCACCAGCTTCTCCCCAGGCCCTGCCGTCTGGCTGGCCGTGCCCAGGGCTCCCTGGCTGCCCCCCTGCCACTCGGGGACCGCCGTGGGGAAAGGCAGCCGGCTCGGCACCTCCATCTGGTGGGGACTCGGCCCGGCAGTTGGGAGCATCTGGGCCCAGGGCAGCGGGGGGCTCCGGGGGAGGCAGAGTCGCTGGCCTGGGCCCGGCTGGCCTTTGAAGAACGAGCTCCTGGGGGGGGCCAGGGGGCCCAGGGCAGGCGCGGGATAAGGGGCTGCCGCAGGGTCCCACAGTGGGGGCAGTCTGGCCGGGGGGGGCCCCGGGGTGGCCAGCTCGGTGTCCAGAGGCCCCGGGCTGGCGTCCACCCTGGCTCCACATGCCTGCCCCGGAAAGCGTCTCTGGGGCAGGGAGTTCAGGGCCCCCCTGGGGCTCCCCAGCCCGTCCTGGGCTGAAGGTGGCCTGTCGGGAAGGGCTTTGGTCAGGCTCTTGTGCAAACCATCTGAGAAGGGGGTCGGGGCCGGGTGAGCCACCCCCGGGGCAGAGAGGGCACTGCTGAGGTTGCTGGGGGGGTCGAGGGTGCCCGGCTGGCCTGGGTAGCAGGGCAGGGGTGGGGGTGCAGGCGGGTAGGCGGGGCCTGTGCCCACGGCCTCCTCCGTCCACGCTCCCGGGGGCTGGTGGAAGGCGAACACCAGAGCCCCGTTGGCGTACTCGTGCCTAGCCGTGTCTGCGCGGAAGGGTTTTGTGCCGGGCCCGTGCAGCGCGGGGAAGGAGAACTGGAAGGGGACCCCCGTGGGGCCACCCGGTCTGCTGACTTTGGGAAGGGGCTCTGGCTCCGCTGGGGGAACCCCGAAATTAGCACCTGGGAAGCTGTTCTCAGCAGCGGGAGGCCAGGAGTCCGCCCCGCTGGCCTGGAATTCCAGATGGGAGGCTGGCCTGAGGGGGCTGGCGCCCCTGCTCGGGGGGGCCCGCAGGGCGGGGGGCCCGGGGGTGGCGTTTGCTGAGGTATAGTTGGTGGAGGTAAAGCTGGAGGGGGTCTCCGGGAAGCACCTTTGGAAGCTGAGCTCTTCAGGAGGGGGCCGGGCCTCGGCCCTTGGGAGGCCGGGCCTGAGGGGAGTCCGGGGGTCCTCTGCCTCGGGGGGCTGGGCGGCCTCGAGCTGTCGGCCCTCGGGGGCGTTGTCCAGGGCGGGTTTGGCTCTCGAGCTGGCAATGCTCAGGCCATATGGCTGCTGGGTGCTGCTGGCTGTGCCCCCTGCCGGCCGCACGCGACCCTGTGAGCGGCTCCTCCCTGGGGGGGCCCGGAGGCCGCCCCCCTTCCCAGGGCCGCTGCCCAGGGCCTTGGTCCTCAGGAGTGGGGCCTTGGGCACCCCCTCCCTGGCCGGCCTCGGCTGGGCTTCTGGGGGCTCTACAGCCTGGGCCCCGTGGCCAGTCTCCCTCGTGGCCTTGGTGGGCCCGCTGGCCGGGGTGTGGCCCTCGCAGGGGGGCTGGCAGGGGCAGCCCAGGCCGCTGGCCACCTGGCAGGGCTGCGGGTCTCCAGTCCTGGCCGGGGGCGGTGCTCCTTGGGGCTGCTCTCCAGGCATGGCCCCTCCGTCTGGGCGCTAGGAGGACGCGCTGGTCTGCAGGGGGCCGCGGGGCGTGGGCTGGGCAGCCATCCTTGCCCCTCGGGGGGCCCGGGGGAAGCCTGCTCTCATGGTCCTGCGCGGAGCCTGCGAGGAAAGGGGAGAAGTCAGAGGGGCCGAGGGGTGGCCCCATGTGGGGCTTCGTGGCTTCCCATGGAACCCGTGGCCAGGCCAGGAGCAGGAGCGGCTGGGGCAGCTGTCACGGAGGCCCCCGAGCGCAGGAGGGTGCTGGGCTCAGACAGCACCTTGGAGAAGCAAGAAGGGGAGGTTCCCGCCAGCCTGAGCCATGGAAGACAGAGGGGGAGGGGAGCTTTCTGGGGTCCGGGTCTGGGAAGGCTGCCTGCCCCTCCAGAGCAGCCCCGCTGGGCTCTGGCCAGGCTGCGGGCAGGAAAGCCCCCTGCTGGGCACACAAATTCCAGACCTGTAGGACTGACCCCGGGCAGAGCCAGGAGGGCACAGGTGGGCGCTTACACCTGCTGAGGGGCCGTGGCCAGAAGCCTGAGTCTCAGGATGTGGGGACCCACGCTGGGCACACCCGCGTCCAGCAGGGGGCTCACACCGCATCTTCTCGGGCCTTGGGGGCGGGTCCTGAGCCGGCACCTGCCCAGCTGCGGGTCACGGTGGCAGCGACCCCCCCTTCTGGGAGCGCCCTGCCTCATTCCCCGGTCACTTCCCAGAGGAGGCTCCATGTGCTGGGCCACAAGCCAGGGCCATGAGGCTCGGACGTGGCAGGGACCACCTGCCCAGGGGACCTGGCTCCTTCCCCGCCCAGGGCCAGCTTCACCTGCTCTCATTTGTCCTTGTGGTCACCATGCGTGGGCTCAGAACCAGCCACCACCCGCTTCTACCTGGTGCTCCCTGCTGTGGGGACCTGCCCCGGGGACGCCCCCTCCCCTGGGGTGTTCTGCCCAATTTGGGCCAGGGTCGCCAGGGTGGGAGCCGTACCAGCATCCGCCAGCGGAGGGCGCCACCCTGCTCGGCCGCTGCAGCCCAAGGAGAGATGCGCCGGGTGGGGGATCTGGGCGCCACATCCTCCTTTGCCCTCACTGCCAAGCCCCCTCCCCATCTCGTCCCATCAGCCTGCAGGGAGGGTCCCCTCCCGCCTCTGGGCCCCACTGCTGGGGGTGAAGGGCTCACGGGCAAAGTTTGTTGAGTGACTAAATGATGGTGCTGATGGCAGTTACAGCTCTTTCCACCATGGATTCCCTCGTGCTCCCAGTGGCTTGGACGTCACCCCGACTTAGGGGTAATGGATCGAGGCATGAGTGACTCAGGGCCTCCCAGCCAGTGGAGGGGGGTCCTCCCAGGAGGGGGGCCCCAGCCCCGCACTGGGCTCAGCCACGGCACACACGTTCCAGACACCCACTCGGGGCCAGGCTGCCGAGAGTGGAGACAGCAGCTGCTGGGGTCCCTCATGAAGGGCCTATCTCGTGGGTGAGACCCACGACCCGAGGCCAGGAGCCTTCAGCTCAGAGTGGGGACTCCAGCCCAGCCGGGAGAGCAGGCAGCCTTCCTGGAGGAGGTGATGCAGCACTGACTCCCGGCTGGCGGGGAGGAGTGTTGGTTTGACAAGGAAGGGAGCTGAGAGCGCTGGGTGCTGCGTCCTGCCCACACAAAGCTGCGAGTCGGCCGGGTCCGGGAGGCGGATCCGGGGGCCAGCTGGCAGCCCTGGCTACTGCCCTCAGCTGGGGTGTCGTGGGGGTGGGGGGAGCCTGGGGACGGGGGCACCTCGGGCCGAGGGGCAGCAGCCAGCCCCCATGCCGGCTGTCCTCCTACATACCTGGGGAGTCAGGGGCCCCTCAGCTGCGTCGCCGCACGACTTCCTGAGCAACGAGAATTTCTTGGCTGCAGAGAAAACAGAAAGCGACTCAGAGTTGGTGTGGGGCTTGGGCCTGGGCCGAGAGCCCTGAGGCACGGCGGGAGGCGGGGCTGGCTCGAGACCCCTTCAGGGCACCAGGAAGCCGCTGGGCGGGCGGGGAGGTGGCCAGTGGGCAGCTCAGCCACCCGGGACCCCGAAGTGCTTGGGGGTCAGCCGGCTGCAGCGGGTTTCATGGTTATTTTGCATTTTTTTGTGTCACGTTTTTATTTATGCACAGATTAAGCATTCGTGGAGCTCCCGAAATCGAGACCCCATTAAAAGGTCGGCAGAGAGACGGCTCACTCCTCTCGCCGGCCCTGACCCTCTCCCCAGTGCCGCTGGGGGTCACGGTTTCATGCCAGAGTTTCCTGATGCAGATGTTAGTACAGACGAATGAATATTCCTACGTCCCTCCTTTCTTGAACAAAAAATAGTCTGCGGTGCTTCCCGCTCTGCTCCTCACGTCCCCTCTAACAACGTGTCCTGGGGCTCGGCCCACAGCGTTCCCTAGAGGGGTCCCTGTCTGTCCGCATGCACGGCCGCCACGCACGCCGCTGACTGCTTGCGCGTCGGACCTCCCGACGGACGCCGGGCTGCTTCCCGTCTCGGCCCTTACAAACGGCTCCGCCGCGAACACACGCAGGCGAGCGCAGGTGGACCCAGGGGCTGGCGCGTCCAGGCGCGAATGCACCTGCGGTGTGGACAGACTGTCGGACTAACCCCGCCGTGGTTTTAAAATATGGCCACACGCTCTCCGGCCCCCTCCTTTCGAGGCGGAGGTAACTCCCTCCACGGAAGGCAGGCCGCGCTCAGGGGTCCCCCGATGATGCGCGGAATGGGGGTGCAGTGAGAGTGTGTGGCTTTTGAGACCAGGCCGTCCGTGGTATCGCAGCCCCCCTGGGACCTGCTCGGGAGACGCCAGCTGCCACGCAGCCCTGCAGAGAGGCCCCGCGGCGGGGCACTGACCTGCCCGCAGCCGTGAGGGGAGCAGCCGCGGCCGAGCCTTCAGCGGACACCGCAGCCCCCGCGACCACAGGAGAGACCTTAGCCACAGCCACCCAGCCACGCTGCGCCGGCGTCCCACCCTCGGATGCTATGTGGTGACACGCGTTTGCCGTCTCAGGCTGCTACTTGTTACAGAGCCGCAGACGACCGTGTCCCTCCTAACAGCGTGGAGAACGCAGAGGCCCTAAGGTAGGTCCCAGCGTCACGGAGGAGGAGGACAGAGGCCTGGAGAGGCCGCAGGACCCCTCCCGCCATCGCCGCACCTGCGCCCGACACTGTGCCAGGCAGGTGGTTCTTGGTGCCATTCACGGCCTCGGGCGCCTGGAAGAGGCGCAGTCCACAAACTGCCACAGGGGAGGGAGCTGCAGCACAGAGGGGAGGTGGGACGTGTCCAAGGCCTTCTGTGACTGGGCTCGTGGGCAGCACTCGGCCGTCCCCTCCTCGCTCTGCCAGGACAGCAGGCGGACACCGTGCCCGCAGCGTGCTGGGCACACCTGGGCACACGCTGGCTCCCCGGGCACGAGGACCTGTGCTCAGTCCTCGGACTGCGCGGTGGGCATGGGGGCAGCGTGCACCCTGGCCTCAGCCCCTGCCCCGCCCAGCCTCCTGGCAAAGCCCTCGGTGCCACCGTGTGGTGTGGGTTTCAGCGGCCCGGGGCCCCTTTGATGCCGGGAGATCCAATCCCCGATCCCGGGCCGGCCCCAGGGAGCCCCCGAGGAGTGCGAGCGGCTCCTTTTCTCTTAGAAGCAGTAACTGGCCCCTCTGGTCACCAGCCCGAGCGCTCTGTAACTCGAGACTGCGGCTGGGCGGGCTGCTCTGGCCGCGGGTGTGGGGGCCGCCAGCTCCTGAGGGAGGCAGAGCCGCCCCGGCCCCCCACGCCTGGCCTCTGCACCCACCCTCTTCCCTGCGCCCCCTCTTCCGCTCCGCCCATGTGGCTGTGGCCTCTCCATCCCCCGTGAGCTGGGCGCCCCTGCCCGGGCCCTCGCCTGCCACCCTAGGGCCCTCGGGGCTCCCTCCTGAGCAGCTGCCCAGTGTGGGCCGCCTGCCGCCTTCTGCCCTGTGCTCGCGATTCCCGACACTCCTGCAGGCCGTGCGGCCGGACACACTGGGCCTGGGCTCCAATCTTGGTGTTTGCAGGATGTGGGACAGTCCTAAGCCTCTCAGAGCCATTCCCCTCATCCGTCACACGGGACCGATCCGAGTCCTGACCTCACAGGGACAACACACCTAAGTCACCTCCTGGGCACCAGCACCCAGTAAGTACCCGGCAGATGGTTGCTCTGAGGTGGCCACGGCTCTTCCAGGCAGCCCTCCTGGATTGCCCGGGTGTGAACTGCTCATGTATGTGTGTCCGCCCAGCGGCATTTGTGGTGATTCACCGCAGTGACAGACGCTCCTGTGAGTCTCGAGGGGCTGCACATCCTGGGTGTCCCCGAGCACGGCTGGGAGCCTGGACGCTTGGCTGTACTGTCCAATCAGGGCTCCACATATGACCTTGGGCCTCCTGGCCTCAGTTTCCCCAACTGTAAAACAAGGGGTTGGATCCGACGGGTCTTCACACCTGTCCTGTACACATGGATATCGAAGCTTGCGACCGAGCCTCCCTCAGAGCCGTCGGCTCCTCTGCCCGCCACGGCCTCTCCCGCGGCAGTGGGTGACTCCTCCCCATGATGTTCCTTCTGTCCTCAGGGCCACACTGCGCCTTCCCGCGGCAGGGACCAGCTCTCTGTCTCCTGCCCGCTCCTCCGCCAGGGAGTGCGAGGCGCTGGGCACTTCTGGCTGTCGAGGACGGTCGGGCTGGAGGTGGGGATGGAGTGTCACCCACGGGCACATGGTGGGGCCGGGCCCTGTCCACGTCCAACTGCGGGGCCTGGCTCCCGGCCTCCCCCTTGGCCCCAGCTGTTCCCAGCCTGGACAGCAAACAGGAGGCAAGGAGTGTGCGCCACAGGGTGGGACTGGGGCGGGAAGGGCCGCTGCGCTGCAGCCTGACCTGGGCGCAGACAGGGAAACTGAGGTTCAGAGAAGAGCATGGCCCGTCACAGGTCACACTGTGTGTCTGGAAAGCAGAGCCCGGCACAGAACGCGGTGGCCTCTCCTG